TTTCTGCTTCATTTGCCAAACTGGACACTAGTGAAGCATACTGATAGTTATTCAATAAGAGGATCTTTATGGCACTTCTACAGCTCATGTCTTAAACAAAAACCAATTCATGTAAGCCCACCCTCCAAAAACTCCTTACGTCCTTACACAGCATCTAACATTAGATGTAGCAGAAACAGCAACAGATGATCAGACAACAGTAAAGTATATTAAAATAGTACTCTGCATTAGAGAACTACTGGATTATATCTATTTTAAGGAAGCTACAAAATAGAACCCCCTATTGTTCTCTCTGTCATCCCTAAATACATACATATTGCAGAGGTTCTACAACAGACACAGTAGAGTCCATAATCCATTCTACTAGAAAACCAATATAATCAGTGGGGGAGGGGCGGAATATAGTACTATACCGAAACAGTTTATTTGCCATTATTAGCACACACAAAAGAGAAACCAATCTAATCTACAAATATCGTCTTAGCATGTGTTCTTCAAACATTTCTCAAAAACAAAACAAAAAAAATCAAAATATGACTTAATGAAATATATTATGATCAGTATAGTATTTTCTTTTGTTGACTATGAACCAAATTATCATTGGATCTACTCTAAGGGTGTCCTCTCTGTACTGTAAAAAATTCAGATTATTGAAGCCATAGAAAGTCTGCTTTACTTTGATGCTTCAGTACTGTTTTATTTGGATACAGCTGTGGATATGATGTCTATAATTAATTTTTCAGTCAAAAATGTGATTCCATGCTACATTTGATTACTTAAATATAAAACAGCTTTAGTTCTCTGAGCCAACCAAAAATAGTGATTTTTAATTTATTCCTGCTGCCTGCAATTATTCACAACCATGTATTTTTAAATATTTCCAGCCTATAAAAATTACTAATTTTTGCCACTTGTGTTTATCTGCCTTTAGACTTTGATTTGGATAAATTAAGCTCTCAAGTGTTCCTTGCTTTATGAAACGCTGCATGTTGTACACTTCAACACAAATAAATGACTTCTACCATTAGAGGTTTAAATAATGTAATGTATTTCATGCTCAGCCTGAAGCGGGATTCCAATGAAGTTGCTAATGCACGTAATGATTAAGTGTAACTCAAATACTAACTGTGTTGTTGAAAACATGACAGGCAATAATTTGGTCTATTATATTCTGCCATTTAATTGCCTAGTACAGACATTCTCTGACACTTTATGAAGCAATGATTTACAATTATTCAAGCTGCAAAGGTCAGAAAGTGACATTATAATCATCTACACAGAGATCCCTTCTAAAGCACAAAAAAATAGGTAACACTACACAAAAATAGTTTCAACTGAAGTTTCAACTTTCTATTTAAAGATTTTTTCATAGCCTTAGAACAAATGGTTCACTTACAACACCATTAAGACATATTTAAAATCCAAATGCACATCTCCCACTCTTCCCAATATTGTTTAAAAACGAAGAATCTTTGTTCTTCAAAGACAACACTAAACAAGCTTTTTTCTTATTATTTTGTTGATCTATGGCTCCACAGTCAAAGAATCTGAAACTAATTCTAAAAACTGACAAAACAAAGAGTGAAAGCAAAAGGTGGAATCCTGTTGGGGATGAAATGTTTTCACCTCTCTTTCAGGCAAGTTCTTTTAATTTTCTGTGTTAACATTTTCAAAATTCAGTCATTCCTGGGAATCATTTAAAAATAAATACTATAAAAGGCACATTCATAAATACACTGGCAAAAGTGCTACCATCCAAGTTCAAATGAAGTTTAATGTTTAAAAACACTTATCTAGAAGATATGTGAGATAATGCACAACAATAGGTAATATACAAACAGAATAGAAATGGAAAACATAGGCATGTTAGAAAAACGAGAAATTTATGTTCTTTAATTAATGTTCAAAATCTATCACCATTCCTTAATGTAAATATGTGATTCCACACACTACAAGAATATATAAGGTAAGCCTATAGATTGGTTTTAAATTATTAACTTTTTTTAATTTTATTTTTTTTCTAACTTTTTCACCTACTGATTTATTTATCTCACTTTAATAAAAGTCTTACAGGTTTCTTTAGGAGCATTTATATTTCAAGGAAAAGTATGAAAAAGTAGATGCATTTTTAATAGATGCATGCTGACCGTAAATTTGTTTAAAATCTGAAATCATGAGCAATTCCTTTGCTTTTAAAGCCTCAAAACTGCAAGCTAAGCCTTTTTTCTCATTCCAATGCACAAGGTTTACAAACATAACTATTTGAAAACCAGTTTAAGTTTGCTAATCTTAGTATAATCAACAACTTCATGCCCAGTCTTCTGAAAATTAGATTTAAATAGGTAGCAGTTGGATACTCCTTGAAAACAGATCCCTTCTCAAATCAGGGATGCATTTTTCATTCATGAACATAATGCAAAAGAAAACAATCAGCACACATCTGCTGACAAGGAAATGAGTAGCAGACGGTTTATTTCAAATGCTGAAAGATTAGTAGCTTCCAATCTCTATAGCAAAGTATTTCTACTGTGCAGCTGGAAAAAATTAAATTTAGATTTGAAATAATAAAAACAACATGCGAAAGCAGTGCTGTGTTTCTTCCATCTTTTATGTTAACTATACAGTGTAAAAAATCTCTTAATTTTTACCATCACTTCTCCAACATTTTTCACCTTCAGATTCAGCTCAGAATTATACTGTATTTCAAGGCAATCAAGTGAAATCTTGCATTTGTAATGATTCATAGTCTTGCACTGACAATTCATATGTCCAAACAGATTCTGTAACAACTGGAAAAATTATTTAACCTTCTACCTAATAGAAAGCTTGTCTAATGAATCTAAATGACAGGACAGAATCTTAACTACTAAAGAAAAGAAAACACAGTATAGGACCTTCTGTTTGTGACAAATTTACCTAGTTAATGTTCCTGAAAGATCATTTCACCTCTTAAAACATGATTTTTTAAAAAGGTAAATTTATAGCAATTAAAGCTAATGAAGGAATGAAACATGAGCTGCTTATGTTCGGGAACTAATAGGTCCTCTGAGCATTTCTAAGATTATTTAGCTATCAATGATAATGAATTGACGTTGTCAGTGGTTTTACTGTACTAGCTCTAAACTGCTGCTAATATGCTACTCATTGCTAGATTTTTTTTATACTGCCATTTTTTAATCTACATACTAGCCTATTTTTATGGCAAAAATAAAGGACATACTTCCTTCTTGCCACACACTCAAATACATTAATAGTGGCAGAGTTATTTAGTGAAAGTTTAAATATCCTAGTCCTCTCTTTTTCAAAACCCATTATATTTTATTGCTAACCCACTCATTGTTAATGGACTAACATTTACGGTGTATCTTGGACTAAACTGTATTATTATTTTAATTGCAACTGAAGACATATCAGAAGTAGATTTTGGAGTATCTTTTTCATTAAATATGTAAGGCTACTTTGACAACGTTGACATGTATTTAACTGTCTAAAAAATGATTTATAAAACAATAAAAAGCAGTTTCTTTTAAGATATTCACAATGTATTCCTTCATATACAAGAGTAAGCTAATTGTAAAGGGTTGCAACCACAATTTAAAATGGCTTGCCAATTCCGATCCATCATTCCCGCTATCCATACACAAGCAAATCCAAGTTCCATTTTTCACATGCCCATTAAATATCAGACAAATAGTGGCTTAGTCACAGATCCTGTATGCACAGAACTACTAATCATATCACAAAATAGATAGCTGCCCACATGCAGTAGTCATGAATATTATTTGTTGTCCAAGGACCAGAGGATAGTCCTCTTGTTACTTTACAAGTGACAATTTTCGTATCAACTTCCAGTGTGCTTGTAAGTAATTTGGTCAGCAACTGTCCAGTGCTTCTTCCCGTCACCACTCTTGTCAGTTTAATGTGCTATTTTTGTGAGAAACATTTGCCTCAGTGAAAAGCATTCTAATTTTCTTTTGAATATTGCACTCACTTTGTTCTGCTAAGAGGTTTAATTGCAAGAGCTGACACGACCAAACTCCAGCTGAAAAATATCCTTAACCACTCACTTTATCATTTTGGTGGGCATTGGGTTTAATTCACTGAACCAACACTAAACTTTACACTAACCATCAGGCCTCTCCAGCAACTTAAAATGTTTTGAAAAAAACATTTCATGTGGCACATATATTAGCTAATTTTTTTAGCATAATAACACTAAAATACACTTTTAATAAGAGCGCAGTATTAAAACCCACCTCTGAATGTCCTACGCCATACTATATATGCCATGGCATTTGGAAACCTTTTAAACATTTCTGCTAAATTAATTAGCTTTGGATTAAAGAGTTTCAGGATCCGCCATTTTAAATGCAATATAGTTGAAGTTCAATTAAACATTATGAATGGTCCATGTGACGAAATAACCATTAAGGAAAAAAAAGAAAATGGGAAGCATTTCTATGTATGGCAATAAATAAAAAACCTTTAGAAAGTTTTCTTCTATCTCCTGTAATACAAAAACCTCATAGCAGCACATCGTTCTAGAAGCAAACAATACATAACACAAACATGGATGAGCACAGGAAAACACAGACTATACTGAAGACTATATTTTTTTAAACACATACGCACATACTTTACATGTGTACCTCTCTCTCTCTCTCTCTCTCACACACACACACGCACACACACACCTTTAAAAGGAAATTTACAGTTCTCCCTGGCAATGTGAATGAACATCCTATAATTTAGTCAATTTACAGATTACAGGTTCAAATTGACCTTGTAGCCCATAAAATTGCTCATCTGCGGTACTGGATTAGAAGTAGGAAAAGAATGTCATAACTGTATTTAAGGAATTTACCATAACAATGGGAAGGAGGATATGCATGCATAATTTTAGCCTCTCTTGCTCACATTCCCTCTTTGAACACTGAAACAATGCATAGCCTGCACTCCTTCCCTGCTAACCAAAGGAGGAACTATTTCAATTTACTCACCCACAGATATGACACTTGTATTCCCTCATCCCAAGGTGCCTCTTGACATGGTTTCTGGCATCTCCTAGTTGAGCTGTTGCAAAGTGGCAAATCTTGCACTTGAATGGCTTTGATCCTGAGTAAAATTTAGCATAAAGAAAATTAGAAGCTGAATTAGAATATTATATTACCCTTGGATAAAGAAATCACCATCTGCGGGAGACAAAGCCATTAAAAAAACTTTTAAAGGTAAGTGTAAAAACCACCACCCCGTATTTAATCTGTTGTAAGAATCTTTCTTAGCCCCTCAAAGAAAAATGCCTATTGCATACATTTATAACTCCAGGGATACTATTAGGATTTTTCTCATTAAGTTTACTTTCCAAGAGTTCAAATACAAAAGTTAAGCAAGAAAGGGGTTTCATTAACAGACATCGTATCAATAATTAGATGATGAGATACTCTAAAATATTAAAATGAAACAAACGTTGCTCAGAAATTGTCCATTATGAAATGGCCTGGATTTCAGATATCACCAGCTGAAGCTTGACACAGTTCATTTCACTAGGGTCTAATTAGTTTCTACAGAACTGTACAAATCTCATTATTATTAAGGTGGAAGACTTAAAAATACATCAAAAATGCTCAAAAATGCCCAGAAATCCAAGCCAAGATGGCTCCATCATTGCACTCCAAATACAACTGAAGGACATGTTGTTGGGGAGGGCTGATTTGGACTAACATGTAGAACTATCTGGAGTTCTAACAAAGAGAGAGGTTTTGACAATCAAAGCAAATTATAAAAATGGCCTTTAAAGGGTTTTAAATCAGGGGTAGTCAACCTTTTTATACCTACCGCCCACTTTTGTATCTCTGTTAGTAGTAAAGTTTTCTCTAACTGCCCACCGGTTCCACAGTAATGGTGATTTATAAAGTAGGGGAAAAAACCCTTACCGCCCACCATGAAAGCTGGAACGCCCACTAGTGGGCAGTAGGGACCAGGTTGACTACCACTGTTTTAAATAATTGTGTGAATCAGCACTTAAGAGAACATCCATATGTTGATCTGATTATTTCAATTCATATTAGAAATCCAATATGCCTTTTTTTTCCTCCTGAAGGCCACAACTGATGCTAAAATATAGAAGGTGGAGGAATATAATAAGTGTTGAAGTTCAATGTGCCAAGTTTTCCTAATATGCAAATACCATTTTTAGACTTGATTATGTTCCATGAGCCTTTTTTGTGGCACAATGTGGCACTGTTGAAGGTTATCATGACAACTTTGGCCATGCCTATAGCATATCAGACTCTATAGAATAGTTGTAACTACTAAGAGAGTGTTTTTTTAATTCTTAAAACATATTTCAGCAACTGTTTTGCTGTGCCCTTCTTTCAGACAAAAAATAACATTTTAATATTGCTATTCTTGCAGAGGAAGAGACACAGAAAGAATGATATATTTCAATTGCAATGGCATGAAGTATATGAATATATAGTGAATAAAATATTTTACCTTGATGACTGTTTTATAGTCTGAATTTATGATTATTCTGAAAACTGGAAGTATTGACATTTGGGCTATTATTTATTTCAGGAACAAACTTTAACTGGCCAGAACAGATATCCATCAAGACACTCACACAAACAGGGGAAAGAGTCTTGTTCTTTTGTAAAGCAATCAGGCCAAGTAAAAAAATAAAAAATAAAATTGAATATTGTAACTTAAGATAGCTTTCAAACCAAACCGAGGCAATTATGTTACCAGAAAAATGCAGTCATTAAACCTGGCAGGTGTCAGTAGTGCAATACTAAGTGGTAATACATTATTTTAAAGTATTCTTTGACCCTTTCCAACTTTTAAAAGAGCAGCAGATCTCTCTATCCATAAATCCCAGAATTGAAGTTAAGTGTAAGTGCAATATGCTCACGGATACTTCATATTATGTTTGGGATATGTTTTGTGAAGAACTTCTTCCAATATAGTTAAGCATAATATGAAATATGGGATCTTTAATAAATATACATAAAAGAGTTCGGGTAAGAAAAATGTTACAGTACATCATACTTGATCAATGATCCCTTCTGTGCCCTTGAACACACAATAGCCTCAAAGAAGACTTTGTTTAAATTGAAGATCTTGGTTAAAAAAAATTTAAAGTCTTAAATTTCAATTTCATTCTCAAAAGCTGACAAAAAATGAAGCATTTAATTTTAATCTTCTCACAGAAATAAAAAAGTCAACAGTACTAAGCACAGGCAGATAAGGTTGAATATTTCACAGTTCAATGACAATGAAGCCAGATCTCTTAATACTTCCATTTCTACTGTTCAAAGTAGATGTAAAATATATTTAGCACCTGAACAGTTATATCTAGTCAGCTTTATGTTTAAATGTCAAAAGCAAGTTGAGTCTGCAAGGAGCAGGAATCACACTGAATCAATCATGGCAGAACACCAAGTTTATTTAAATAGTAATGATAAAATTGATTTAACCATTAATTTGCCAGCATTTTGTATCATCAGTGCATCCTGTAAAGAAGCCAGTGAAAATAAAACCATTTAAGTTTCTGTGCCCATATTAAACACAATGTAGCAGTTTAATTTACCAGTTAGATGTAATAGGCTATACAATGCTAAAATTGTAAACAGTGATGCATTTTGTTTCATAAAAAATATTTGCAGATTTTCTTTTGCTTATTCCTCTCATTACACAACAGTAGACCTCATTTTGGGGCTAATAGGCACAATATTGAATATTGAAGGTATGTCATGCCTGTTCATAAAAAGACTGCCTGTGTAGAACAACTTTTACACTCACAAAATGGCCACTGTGGGTTCTGTGAAAGTTTTGTACCATGGATGACTGGAAAACCTCATCTCTCAGTTCCACATTCCCAACAATACACCAGCAACTTTGTTAAGTAATTTGACTGCAACAATTAGACAGCCTTTAATAGTAAGATATTTTGCATCTAACAGCACTCAAGAAACCTGTTTTTCAATCATAAAGTTCAAATTCTCATTCTCCATCCCCTGCCTTTCCAAGCCAAAAGACTGAATTTATAAGCTGCTGCATTCAAGGAGATTCAGGAGAGTTAGTTATTAAAAACATTTAAACATATACTGAGTTGCTGGAATTGTATAGGTAGAAAATATGGAAGGAGGGCTGCTGAGTGTGCCATGGGGTGGGGGGGGGTGATTATGGTGATGGAGTCTTGTTTTACTGTTTCATTTTTTTATTATTAATCATCTACTGGTTTTATTGTTATTGCAAGCTGCCCAGAGTGGCTTAAGATGGCCAATCATGTAAACCTTTTAAATAAATAAAAACCAAGAGTGATACTCAAATCACAGTAACAGCACAATACAAATGAACAGTGATGGAAAAGAAAACAAGTCCAGATGGGAGCAAAGAGAAAGGAGTGTTGAAGGCCTGGCTGAAGAGCCAAGTCTTTAAAGGCCTTCAAAATATCAATAGACTGGGAGCCATTTAAATTTCAGGGGGGAACCTCGTTCCAGGGGGGCAGGCACTGCAGGGTTCCCGAGTTACCAATGTTGGATTGATGAGACCTAAAGCATGCCAACCCCACCAGATCAAACTGGCCAGGCAGATACTATGGGAGACAAAGAATCCCTACATTAACCAAGCCCTATCCCATGTAAAAAATTGTGTGTGTATGTGTAGACAGAGTTAGAGATTATAGATAGAAATATAGAGATACAGAGATAGAGCTATATAGGTTCCCACAATATAGATTAAATTTTATATGGATATAGCTAGGCAGTAAACATCTACCACAAAAAAAACTGATGAAGTTCTTCCCACCCAACTCCTCTATGTTTTCTAGATACTATTTTATCTCCCTTTCTTTTTCTGTTCAGCTATTTGCACTGAACATTGGGAATTCACTATTCTTCCTCCAAGGTTTGCAAAGCTCCCCTCACACGATTTTTAGATTGTTTTAAATATAGTTTTATTTCAACTCCAGGTTTTATTGGCATCCATTTCAAGAGAGGAATTTATTTATTTTTGTGGATTTACTGTTACTGTTGTTTTGTTATCGTTTCATTTTTACTGTCGCACTTACAATTTTAACTTAGTTTAACCTCTTGAGTTGGGGGAGTATAAAAATTGTCAAATCACTTCCACACAATGCACCAAGCTGCAGCGTTTCATTGTTTTCCTTATGTATGCTTCTGTCATCCAGAGGTTTTAAATAAAAGCAATGCTAGAGGATTTTGCTTTACTTTCCGTTGTAAGAACCTGGTGCCAAAGAAGATAGCAATGGGGCACAGAGATGTCCAGATATATTGTACTGCCTATTTATGGACATTTATTGTTCGGTTTTTTACCCATATGGTATTCCCTGTAAGGGACTGCTTTCCCCAAAGTATCATTTTTCCATTCAACTGGTAGGCTTAAAGTACCAAGAAGTTGGGTATGAAGGTGGACAACAGAGAACATAGGGATCTGTCAACAATGCTGTAGTATCTAAAATAAATACATATTGTACACTTTAATTATTAATGATAGTTATTGATCTTCATTATAAAGGTGCAGGGCTGATCTATCTTTTATTTATTGAACAGAATCAGAATATTGATGGAAATGCTTCCAAAAAAGCAAAATGGATTCATTTTTTTCTTCAGTTAAAAGCCCAGGATGTTATATGACTAACCACTGCTGAAAGTAACAGGGTTTTTAGGCTGGAAATATAAAATCCCAGAGACCAAATGCTTACAAAAAAGCATAAATATTGCATTGTATAAATAATCCTACAGCATAAATCTTTGCCATGATTAGGATTCAAAATTTCCAAAATGCATATATGGTGAAAACTCAACTGTGGTTGATCATTTACATTATCTGTTCCTTGCTGTACTTTATTCCTGTTTTTTCTCACCTCTTAAATCAAGCCAAACTCCTTTTGTCAAAGTTTCTCTTATCTCTTAGATAACATGCCTTCTAACTGAACTCATTGGATCAATACCATTCAATTCAACACTCCTTTCCAGTACATAAGCAAAACCCAAATTTTGCACTAAGTTATAGTAAAACCATTGTAGTCCATTTTTCCATGTTACTTTCTCCCTACCATTACTTTTGTTTTGGCATTCTCTTTATAGTTTAGC